AAAGCAATGCACTTGCGGTTTTAACAAGAAGTCAAAAATATCACTTTTACCAAAAATGACAAAAATATTCACCAAAATTAGAGAATTGAAGATATCAACATGAAATGAACAAACTAAGAGAGTCTACCCAAGGTACATATACACCAAGTATCAAAGCATTCAGGCTTGTAGTTTTCAAGAAGAAGTCGAAAAAGTAAAACATTTACACGGACAATGACGGACGAGACGACGGACAATCACTCATATGATAAGCTCCGCTCGACAAAGTCGACAGCGGAGCTAATAAAAAAAAAATAAAACTCTAGTTATAAATCTATTAAAAATGATGCAAAACAATGCATGTTTTTTCACCTTAAATTACAAGATATTTCTGTGCCAAAGGAGAGAATGTTAAAACTGCCTACTTGTACATTTATTTTCTTTATATTTATGAGTTAAAAATGCACAATATAAAAACGTTTCAGAGGAATACATCAAAGATAATTTATAGCAAGCCATTAGAATACAATACTCTTTGAGATTTTGATATTAATCCTTGGCATACATTTTTTTCTTAGACACACCATATCCATAACAATATTACCATATACAAATTTTCGGTTGGATGTGCATCTTTTTCATGAAGTACAGATTTTACATCAAAAACAAAAGCATAATAAATTTCAACTCGATAAAAGAATCTTAAAAATTATAATTCCACTTCAGTATCATGCGTCATGTAATACAAAATTGTTTCTTTAAAAAAATACTTACAAACATGAATCATTTATTACTTTTATACATATAAAATACTTCTAAAGAATGTTAATTTCTTGGTCTGCATGTTCACATTAGCCACTATAATATTCCACACTGAAAAAAATGCATACTCTATATATTGTTTTTTTTTTCAAAAAATTCTTTTACAAATGTTAAAAAATAAATATATGAAAGCTCTGATAGATAGTATAGAAGGAACACAGGGTGTTTTCCATTAGTTATTTCAGTTTTGACAGGAAACCAAGCAGATGAACCATGAATATATAAATGCTAATACATGTAGTATGAAAGCAATACAATGACCATGAGGTGATAAGCATTGACATTTCACACAGTCACAAAATTGTTAAAATTTGGCAAGTGCTAGCTTGGTTCTACTATAGAATAAGTAATTGGCGGTAAATACAAACAGTTCATCATAGAATATACACACACACACATATTTTGTATTATTATAATAAGACTACTTGTCGTGACTTGTTTTTTTCATACAAGAACTACCATAATCTTTTTAGCAATTGTTTCAAACTGATCAATATATACTATGATTTATTTAGTGAATGATTTCCCACAAAAATATCTCATGCCAGCCTTCAAAGCTGATACGTTTGATTTTGACTACTACTACTAATAACGTTTTGTCCTGGCAGATTAATTTTCAAGTTATCTGCCAAATTTAATTTTCTTTGAAAAGCCAGAAGATGCTCAAATATAAATAACATACTAGTAGTTAGATTCTTGACTTCTCAGATACCGACAGCAGTCATGTTGAATCATATATTGTTCATATATATGTCAATTCCTGGCATTGCACCAAGGAATCATGGGATACGATTGTTTATACTATTAATCTGTCTTGTTTTCCATTGTAATTTTAACCCAGCCTATGAGGTTAGGCTTAAATGGAGGTACTGTAAAACATGTCTTTTTCAGACTTTAATATCAATTCAAAATGGCCGCCAAACAAAGAAATAAACAATGACAAGAGAGATTCGCTAAATCAACATTTCGCTATTACGTCATTTTACCACAATTCGCTAAAATTGCATGCCGCTTTTTCAACATGTTTTACAGTATCTCTTTGAGCAAAGTTCAACCATTTTTTGGGGTTTTATTTTTTGTGTGTGAAAGGATTAAACTCTAAAATTATAATTACTGGTATATGCAAAATGAAAAAAAAAATTTTTTACGTAATAAAACTCCAAGGTTGGTTATTATTGATAAAGTCATGAAGCCCTGTAGGCATAGAGGTTTCTTTCATGGTTTTTCTCACCTCGTATGTGTACATCATGAATGAATTGCTGATTAATTGGAAGTGATGTCACCATTCTTTTGTATTCAAATAAGATATGATGCATTCTGAGAGTCAAACAGCAACCTTCATTCATATGCAGGGCTTCATTTCAGACATAGCAACGACTCTACAGCAGAATGCAATTTTAAATTCAATCATTCAATGACCTAAAAAACATTGCCTTTGAACCTGTACTATGGTCTTATTTCACACATCTAAAAAAAAAAAGTAAAAAAAAACAAAAAAACAGAAGCTTTTAAAATATCGAGGCATTATGGAGGCAATAAAAATGTTAGCACTACAAAGCTAACATGATAACCATGATAACATCACAAACTTTTTTTGTTGTTATTATTATTTAAAGCGAAGAGTTGTGCACTACTAGCAATTCTGTATAAAGCAGAGCCAGTCATTTCCTTGAACACAAGGGGATACTTGCGGAAGTAAGAAAAGATGGCAACAATAATCAGATTCATTATTATGACAATGCCGAATAAACCCAAGGATGAGAAAAATGTAGGCATAGCATCATGCTGCTCGAAGAATTCTCTGCGGTTTTCCATGTCTAGCATCAGTGCATTGAGTTGGGTGTTGGTTGCCAAGGCGCCACAAATGTGAAATAGCTGGTGGCTGTGGCCAATGACATCGAACATTCCTGGAGCAATGCATTCTGGGAAGTGTGACGCAAAGAAGCTAGCTGTGATGAAGGCAAGGAAGAACTGGCGTGCATGAAGCTCGTACGACTCATCCCAGCAATCGTTAGAGTGACACGAAGTCAAACGTATGACCAGAGGAATACTATCGAATACGTAGGGGTAGGCAAAGGCAGACAACCGCAAAATCTTTTTGAGTATCTCACGATTGCCGAATCTTGAAGTACAAGCCATGGTTGTGCAGACTACGCTGTTGAAAGCAGCAATATAGTGGAACAGGCTGTAATACCAGCCTCCGATCATTTCATTTGGAAAGACATATTGTCTATAAGCAATGGCTGCCCCAACGCTATAAAGACTGATTGCTGCATAGTCAAAATAGAAACAGACATGACGTGCATGTTCGGAAATGCAATTGAAAAGGTGTGCTGTACAACTACCTAACAAGTAGCAGCATACAGAAACCATGAAAGCGAATAGCGGCCATGTGTAGTTTTCGTTGAAGATTCCTTCGGCTGACAGGTTGATGAGCCTCCAGAGGAAATACA